AGCCCTCCCCCTTGTTCCCCCCCCCCCCCAAGCACCAAGAAGACAGAGCATCACTTGCCCCAGAGCCCCTATCTATACCTTGTGGCTAAGAGCCACTGATGGACCTCTGCTCCATATGCTTATCTAATTCCCTTTTGAAGCCGTCCATGCTTGTAGCCGCCGCCACCTCCTGCGGCAGTGAATTCCATGTGTTCATCACTCTTTGGGTGAGGAAGTACTTCCTTTTATCCGTTCTAACCCGACCACTCAGCAATTTCATGGAGTGCCCACAGGGAGTTCTTGTACTGTGAGAGAGGGAGAAAAGGACCTCTTTCTCTACCTGCTCTATCCCATGCATTATCTTATAAACCTCAATCATGTCTCCCCTCAGTCGTCGTTTCTCCAAGCTAAAGAGCCCCAAGCGCCTTAACCTTTCCTCATAGGGAAAGTGTTCCAGCCCTTTTATCATTCTGGTTGCCCTTTTCTGCACTTTTCCCAAAGCTATACTATCCTTTTTAAGGTGTGGTGACCAGAACTGCACACAGTATTCCAAATGAGGTCGCACCATTGATTTGTATAGGGGCATGATGATATATATAATATGTGATACAAGTGGGTCTGGATCCCTGTTCTTCAGCCCCAGAGCTCACCTCGGGGCGGTCACTGCCACACCAGCTACGGAATCAGTGGGTGCTGGATGGCTACTGGAGGAGAACATTAGAAAGCTTAACTCCGTGACTTTCCAAACTTGGGTAATCAAGGGACTGATTTTGGTCCCACCGAGAAATGCTTTGCCGGACCGCGTTAAGGGCACTCGCTGGCTCTGAGTCACCGTGTCGCAAACCTTTCCCTCCTGAAGGGATCTGCTCTGCCAGGCGGTGAAGCTCAAAGTGGACGGGTACGAGCTGGAGAAGAACAAGGCCCAGTCGATGGAGGACTACGTGAAAGCCTTCCTGGATGCCGAAGTCAAGCCTCTGTGGCCCAAGGGCTGGATGCAGGCGCGGTGAGTGGGAGCGGGGCCGAGAGGCCGCCATGTACTTACTCCCGCTAGAGGATCCGCCCTCCCCAAGCACTGCCCATTCCACCAGAGCCGCTTCACAGGGAGGGACTGGGGGCGGGGTGTTTAATCCCACAGTTTAGGGGAGAGGTCCCAGCGGCCTGAAGAGCGGCTTGGAGGGCCAATGGGCAGCTGTGTAAATACGCCCTGGATGGGAAAGGTCTGCAGGGCAGGTTGGCGGGCTCTGAGAGGAGGGACACAAAAAGGGTTACCAGCTCTGGGTTGGGCGATAACTGGAGATTTGGGGGGTGGAGCCTGGAGTGGGCGGGGCTTGGGGAGAGGCGTGACCTCAGAAGGCTAGAATGCCATAGAATCCATCCTCCAAAGCAGCTGTTTTCTCCAGGGGAAGTTATCTCTGTAGCGGATAGATTAGAGGTATGATAGGGCAATAGCATGCTAAGGTTTTGTTCTCTATGCATTACTTTCTTTCCCCGCCCAACTATGTCCTGTTGTCGGCCCCTGTGCTGGACGAGATGGACCACTGGTCTGATCCAGCAGGGCTCTTCTTGTGTTCTTGTCCAGAGATCAGTTGTAATAGCAGGAGGCTGGCAACCCTAGGCACAAATACGACGACGTGGAAAGGTTCCCCCCCCCAAAAAAAACCCCTATTAGGATATATTATTAGTTCGAACACACACCATATTATTGTTTGTTGTACATCCTTTCTTCCCTTACCCCCCCCCCCCTTTCTGGCTTCCCACAGTGCTCCAACCTCCAGCCCATTTCTTAAACCTTTTCCGTTTTCCCCTTGTCCCTTAATCATAATCTACCGGTAACACTTCCTTCTGTTATTATTTTCTTGTAATTAACTTTCATCTAGTAACATTAACTTTTCAATAATTGTCAAAGCAAATTAGATTGTCTTTTACATCCCAATACACTTGTGTGTGCTGGGGAAATACACCGCACATTAGCACGGCTTTTGTTGACATCCATAGAGTCTAGAAACGATAAGGTGTAGAAACCCGTCTCTGTTTTGAAACCCAAAGCTGTCGTTTTGGGGGATCCTGCTAAGCCCCAGGATCTTGTACTCGGCAGAGTCCTTTCTCTTACTTGGAAGTCAGGCCACTTACTGGCTGGCTGACC